ATACAGAGGTTAAATGTCTATAAGTGGCTAGGTCTAAGTGGCTAGAAGTGGCCCAGACATTTTCAAACAGACCCTAAGAACTTCTCATTACCTTAATGAAGAAATTGGTCCTTCCCACTGCTCCTACTTTTCCTGTATAATTAATGAATCCAACAGTTCCTTCAGTAGCTCCATAAATTTCACGGATTTTGATGGGTCCAAATCGATTCAGGAACTCCTTCCAAACCTCTATTCGCATTCCATTACCAATAGCCATTCTCACCCTATGGTCACGGTCATTGTCTCTCTGTAAGGTGAGATATCAAGAAAATTAGAACTCTCCAAAATAAATATTGTATTATCAGTGGCCATGCCAAATGGTCAGGCAGTGAACCAGTTTTTTAAGAGATTGCTTGAAGAACATCCTATAAGATGGTGAGAAGGAGTGACAGTCTATAAGGATTGTTTACAATTAGTCTATAAAGTCTGCAAGGAAACTTTAGCTATTTCAGACTACAGTTGCATGGCTATGATGGCTTTAGTTTAAAAGGATAGAAATCCATGTTACCCATAGATAAATAATACGGGTTTGGTTTTCAAATTCTGGTTAATACCTTAGTGTCAATGGATAGCATCTTTGAGCAAATAGCAGGTACTGAAAATTAATTAAAGCCTAGCAGAAATATTAGGAATTACAACATTTTAGCATTTGTAACCAAATGACTATGACTAGAAAACATGTTTACTGTTGTAAAAATGACTATTCCCTCCCTACTCCTCAAGAAAAAAGGTTGTCATCTACTAACCTCCCCTGCAAATATTTCTGCTTTTGAAAACTCCCTGTAATCCTTTGTTGGAGGAGAATTCTCCAGATCTATAAAAGATCCATTAAGCCTTGGAACTGGCCAGTTCTGAATCAACCTTGTCATACAAAAACAAAGCAACCCTAAACTTGTTGGTATCACACAACCATTTTTAAACCCCTAGGTACCTTTCTTAGAATACTTTTCTTTGTTTTACCTCCATATAACTGGATTCAGTGTTTTGAACCTGCTAAGACCCTTGCTATGAGGAATATACAAAGGAATAGTGCCATTGCACAACGGCATCAGTCTACCTGTATTACAATTATATGTTCCCATATAAAGATACAACACTATTCTTCTGTGAAAGATTAGTAATAATATCGTTATTTTTCCTTTTACCTCTATAATAGATTTATATATACGTATGTATACGTACACCTACATATATCTATCCTATGACCTGCTGCTAGGCAAGTATAATTATCATTTTTTCATGAAATGGGAAACAAATGAGGGAATTGGATTACGTGAAGGGAGAAGGAATGGATATAGGAGAAAGAAATATATAAACAGGCCATGCATTCATGATAAATTGGGCCTGGGTCTCCACAATATGGTACAAGTACTGTATAGTTATCTTCTAGATTTGTATCTGCATTGCCTAGACACTGGGACATACAATTTGGCAAGCAGTTGCTTATCATTCTTTGTAATATTATTTTCTGAAGTATTAGTCCATCTTATCAATTACCTTTGGTGCATTACACAAGTAGCGCATCAATTCTCCTACATACTGGATCACAGTGACATGATAACGTCTGCAGTCATCCCAGTAATGAGAAACAGAGAACTTAGATCTCAGAACACATGTAGCTCCTTACATAAACAGAGAGAGAAACTAAGTTGGTGTGATCACTGGGTTAGAATCCTAAGCTGAAATGCTCCACCCTGCAACTTTTCAATGACATTTTCCCCTAGTTATCTCAAAGATGCTTTTTCAAGAGGCAACTGGACTCTGTTGAGAGAGGGCCGTAGGAGAACAAACACATCAGGACTAAATTCAGCAGTGCATTTGCATTTAAAAGTCACAGGGCATTCTTTTGAAGACAACAAAGTCTATGTTTTGGACAGAGGGGATCACTGTTTTAAAAGAGGGGTTAAAGAGGCCATCTATTTCAAAACTGAACAGCCCTCTCTCAACAGAGGAGGAAGGATATGACATCAATCTACAACACAGTCCTTTCAACAATTCCAAGAAGCCTCCGCACCAATTTCCATCATTCAGATGACCTTGATGACATAGATAAACTTCCAGGTGACTTTAACAATCTACTAAAAGAATGCAAATGAGCAGCTGTCTGCAAGGAGTATAAATCCTTCCATTCCCCACCATCCAGTCAGAGCTGAAGAAGCTTCTTGGATGAAAAACAAAACGTCTTCAAAGAAAAACCAGAAACTCCAGTTGCCTCTTGAAAAAGCACCTTTGGGACAACCATGACCTGGGTAGCTGAAAATCTCCATAGACACTTCGCCTAGTTACATAAAATGGCCTAAAATGATTTGGCTCCAGGATATTTGAAGAGGACAAAATCAAGATATAAATCAGATAAATAAATATATAAATAAAAGTCTTCTCTTCTTCAGCTGCTTCTGTGAATGTCATTCTTCTGCAATCAGATATCCAAATAGGTTGGGATATTGGCAAGAAATAGGCCATTTAGCTTTATATATTTTTACAGTTTATATGGTTATCATCACAAAATATTTGATCCACAAATATTTCAATCGATATCTATCCACCCACTATTCAATGATTTACTAGTTATTTTCTGCTTCTTCATTTAGCTGGGTAGCCTTTACCACGTTAAATGTCCTAGAATTACTTACTAGGAATTACTGGCAACAAATATTACAACAAGTAAATTAGCAAACAAAAAGGGATGTAATTCTCGTGTCCTTTCATTAGGGAGATTGTGAGTTCAAGTCCCATCTTAGTCATGAAAACCAGTTGGGTGACTTTGGATCAGTCACTCTCTCTTAGCCCAATCTAACACACAAAGTTGTTGTTGTGGGGAAATATTGGTATGTTAGATATGTTCATCTTAGCTGATTTTTAAAAATAATTAAGATGGGATATAAATAAATAAATGACACAACCATAGAAAATGAATACTGCTTAAATACCTATCAGTCTGTGAAATTCATGTATACTTTGATATGGCCTATGGTTAAAACAAGAAAAACTACTACTCCTCTTCCTCCTCCTCAAATTCCTCCTCCTCCAACTCCCAGCATTAACATTCATACATCGACATGTCAATTTTCTGTCTTACAAATATATGTTTTTGCATTGCAAAACTGCTCCAAGAGAGAGAAGTTTCCTTCTGAATCTGCCAAAGAGTCAGTTAAAGGGTCCTTGGCTCAGCTAATTTTTATTGTAAGAGTATATTTATGTTATTTTTGTGTCAGGATATTGGAAATGTACAGGTAATCCTTGACTTACAATTGAGCCCAAAATTTCTGCTAAGTAAAATGTTGCCCCATGTTATGACTTCTGGTTGTGGTGCTGTGGCGGAGTGGGGAGAAAAGAGCAAGCTCTGCTCTCTCATCCTATGAGCTTTCTTGCCACAGTTGTTAAGTGAATCACTGCAGTTGTTAAGTTAGCAACATCCTTGTTAAGTGAATCTGGCTTCCCTGTTGACTTTGCTTGAAAGGAGTTTTCAGTGTCCCGGGGTTATCATAGGCCCCTGAGACACTTCAACTGACATAAATAGGAGCCTGTTGCCAAAGATCTGATTTTTAATCATGTGATCCCAGGGATGCTACAATAGTTGTGTGAAAAATGGTCATAAGTCACTTTTTTCAGCACTGTTGTAACTTTGAATAGTCATGAAATGAACTGTTCTAAGTCAAGGGCTACCTGTACCTCATTACTATATTAAGATTGGTTAATAAATGACACCACAGGATAAGTCTTCCTGCTTGCCTCCTCCCATTTTTCTTAACTCCTTCATGCAGAGTTATTATTAGTTTGCTGGGAAATTATCTGGGGCAGGCTGTGATGTTCTTCGTGGATGCTGCTATATATAAGATATAAGCTGATATAAGAGTTCTGTATCTCTTGATTATACTCTGAGGGTGAAGCTCTGTTTATGTGTATTCTAGGCTCTCTGGTATTTTTTGCCTACCCATGTCTATGCTTCCCAGAAGCCCAATGAGTCCACTTCCGTGGTACAGAGGGAGTGGAATATAAACAACATCTTTGTCATGGACACCAGACAGGCGAAACAGGTGGGAGGCTGTTATTATTTTCTTCTGGGAAATGACAGCAGCTTTGGGGAGTCCTAGAGGAAAATAAAAAGAAAATAAGAAATAAAGAGTGCAATGCACTTAGAGAAAAAAGCAAGAAATGATAATTTACAATCAGTTTCGCAGCATGCTTGACTCCATGCCAAACAAAGGGATTATAATATGATCCTGGTATTTCAAAAGCACTCATTGGCAAAAAAAATTTCTTATAAGTATTTATCTCATGTATTCAAAACTATATTTATTCTTATACCTGTATCTTGTAAGTGATTGACAAACAAACAAACAAACAAATAAATAAATAACTGTGCCAATTTCCATTCAACAACAGCATCATCAGATGACATGATGATCATGATGTGAAGTGGACAGTGGACATCATGACATGATGATGAGGTCAGATGAGCAAGAAGCTTTGCAGACCCAAAGGAAAATGACTTGTTATCTAATCTTGTTACTTATTATCTAACCCTGATCTACAAATATCATAAAAACCATGCAATCATATAAGCAGAAGTCAACTGAAAATATTTCCAACCAATAGCATATTTTATCCTTCTTGGTCTCTCAACAACCACCCCATCTTTCATGCTCCTCACCTGTGGTCCCAGAGGTGAAAATATATAGACATACAGATTTAGGTGTTACACTGGCTCTGAAGGAAAAGGGCACTGATTCAGCAGAACTTAATTTGACCCTTTTGAGCAGTGCCTCTACACCTTCAGTTGGGGAATCATCACTCAGATAGAAAACACGTATCCCTTCATCATTTAAAGTAGGCAGGACATCTTCAATGGCATCTTTGAAATCTTGAAAAAGGAAAGGAAAAAAAATTAATTGAATGTACAGCCTTACTTTTGTAAATCTCTCTTTGAGCCTCTTACATAAATATTAGAACATAGGAAAAATATGGCAGAGTTTTTGCAAAGACAATGTAAAGAATAGAACTCCAATCTTACATTCTTAAAAATACTAACCATTCCTAGACAAAAATATATAATATAGTCCATTTTTCCTGATTATTTTATTATATAAAACAGGATGAAAATGTATACATAAATCTGTGTGCTAGGACTTGCAAGCAAATGAGAAATCAAGAAAGAAGAATGGAAAAAGACTTTCGGTTGTAGTGCTGTGGCGGAGTGGGGAGAAAAGAGCAAGCTCTACTCTCTCATCCTCAATCTGTGCATTCAGAGGCCCCAGCAAGGGGCCCATAGACCCTGGGGGGGAAGACGAAGGTGTGAGGAAGCCCGAGGAGAAGTTTGATGGTGGGAGCAGTCAACAGCTTCGAGGGAAACCCCATTTGCTCCAATGTGTGAATGCTCGGCCATCTCGATGGCAGACCGAAGCCGCGGTGCTTTAACTCAATGAGGGAGATACCAGACTATGAACACTATTCCTGACATCAATTGGCAGATCTGATCAGAAAGTGAAGAAGGCAGAAAGTGAAAGTCGAGGAGAGAAATGGCAGAGAGAGATGACAGAACTGTGAGTCTTAAAATAGCGGACAGAAGTCCGAATGGAAATGATGATCTGGCATTGAAAGCAGGGAATTTTTAAGATGAGATTGAAGCTGATTTATTTGACTAAAAATTGACTGGTGTTTTGGACTTGTTCTGATGAATTTGGAGTTGATTTAGACTGATTATTCAGGAATTTGGAGCCTAATCTGATGGATTTGTGACTTGTAAAAGAACAGTGGAAAGAAGTAAGAGACAGGACTGAATTTAAGAACGGAAATGACATTTTGAGATTATACAGAGAGAAGAGAAGCTCATGCAACAGATTGTGTCTAAAAGAAACATGAATGGATAAGAAAAGGAAAATGAATGAATAATACTGGACCTTTTTCTACAGAATATAATTAAAGAAATAACATTTTGATTAAGGTTTGATTGAATTTATAAGGAACTTAAAAGTTGAAATGATATGAAATTGTGAGAAGATTGAGGAACTACTATCCTGATGATTATTGATTGATTGATTATTAATAATTAATGAAATAAGTAAGGCTATATATATAAGAAGTGGAATTTAGATTTGTTTAATCCTATATTTTAATATCTATCTGTTTAAAAGAAACTGAACCCTATAGTTAAGGATAAAGAACATAGTTGATATATCATAATATAATATAGCTGTATAAGAACAATTTATAGTAATTATACCCTATTCAATTCTATCGTACCCTTTCTCCCTTTTCCTCTTTATTTTGATATTATCCTTCCTGCCCTCCCTTTTGCTCTCTCTCTTCCTTCTCTTCTCTAATATTGGTGATCCAGCTAACCCTAGGCTTTATATAAGATTTAATTAACTCTGAATAATACATAATACTATAACTTGGAGCGGTGGTAAGATATATTTTAAGGGAAATTACTGAACAAAATTGAAAATGAAAGGGAAATTAAATAATGAATGGTAAAGTGGGAAGATATTTACAACAAAGTTAGGAACATGACCAGTATTATGAAAATGACCCTGAAAGGGGAAAAAATGATTTCTGGTTTATCAGTATCCATTGCAGCTCTAGTGGGTCAAAAAACAATAGAAGGAATGCTGAACATGGAAAAAACAAGCAACACTGCCAACATGCAGACGATGCATGAAATGACGCTTAAAATGCAGGAGCCAATGGTAAACAACCACACAGATATGAAGACAGAAATGGGAGAAATGAAGGGTAAGATCCAAAAACTGGATGAGAAGATAGGAACAATTCAACAGACAATAGAGAAGAACAAACAAAAAATAAGGAATATAGAAATCAAAGCTGAACAAACAAACAAGAGACTGGAAGGGATGGACAGGAAGGTAACAGAGATGAATATAGATCTGGAGGATTTGATAATCCATCTCGAAATGGAATGTGCAGCATTTTATTTTAGATTCCAAAATGTATTGAAATCCAAAGATGAGGATCTAGGAGCCATAATGTCCCACCTAATAGCAGAGGCATTGCAAAGGGGCCAACAGGAAACAGTGGAAGAATTGGATGAGGTCTTTCAAATTCATACAAACTATGCCAGATGAAACGAACTGGCAAGGGAGGTCCACATTAGGTTCACCAGGAAAAACATAAGGGATATTGTATTTAGAATTACAAAGGACGAGCTGATGGTGTACAAAGAAAGAGAGATCATGACCTTGAAACAAATCCTGAGGTGGGTGACAGAGCTGAGGAAGGATTATAGATCTCTGGTGATACTTCTGAATAAACAAAATATCTGATTCCGATGGTTGGTTCCTGAAGGAATGCTGGTGATGTGGCAAGAAAGAAGAGTAAAAATTGACAGCATTGAAAAGGCACAAGAATTTTATGACCAGGTGATAGAAATAGAGGAGGAGGGGAGTAGCAAAAAAGAGTCAGAAGGACCAACAAGAAGACCAACAACAAGGAATACAGGAAATGGACCAAGAAGAGAGAGGCAAAGAAAAGAGAGAATACCCAAGGAGAAAAGAATTAAGAGTAAGACCCTAAAGAGAAGCAAGAACCAACAGAAGATATAGATAGACTCAGAATCAACAATGGAAGAAGAGATTAAACTACTCTCAATAAACATCAACAAACTCCCAGATTAAGAGAAAATAAATATTAACTAAATTAACTAAACAAAACACTGACATTATATGTCTACAGGAGGTACATATTCTTGAGGTAATTCCCCGTTAGGAGAATGAGTGCACACAGGGAGACATAGTGAGAGTGGTGAGGAATAACACACAGCTAGCACACAGATACACTGTATAGTAAAATGTAGGGTTTTACTTCCAGTAAACAGTTAAGCAAAGTCCAACAAGTAGTCCAAATCATACACGGTTATAGCAGTCAGTTTTCAGTCCAGGGATAATCCAATAACAAAGTCCAGTATCAATAACAGTTCAGTAATAGACTCATATCAACCCAAGAAGAACTATGATCAGCAACAGTCAATCGGGAAAAATTCAGGAAACAGTGAACATCAGAACATGGATCAACTAGTAACTATCAATAACAGAATTAACAAGCCAGGTTTCTGGCTCCATCTTATAGCCATTTGAGGAACCACACCCAATTACAATTTTAGCATTCCCTTAAAGAGACAGTATTAAAATGTCTATCCTGGTTTATGTATTTCCAACCCAACTGTTAGGTGACTTACATTCCAAACACATATCCAAAAACAACATGAAAAATGTTGAGAATACCCCAAGTTAGGTGTATTATTTACAGCATTGGCAGATCAAAAGAAAATGGGGGGTAGCAATTTATGTAAAAAAAAGAATAAATGCAAAACAAATTTACACAGATGAACAAGGCAGAATTTTAATGATACAAATTAATTTGTAACAAAACAACTACTATTAGTGGGGATATATGCCCCTAACAATAACCAGAAGAAGTTTTATAAGAGATTATATGATAAAATATTTGGTGTAGGTGAAGAAAATATCTGCTTAATAGGGGATTTCTATGCCATTTTGATGTTAAAAATATTATGGAAGAGACCAGGAAGGAAAAAAAGAGAACTCTACCAAAAGCTTTCTTCAATTTAATGGAAGAGACCAACTTGGGAGACATATGGAGGAAGAGAAATCCAAATGAGAAGAAATTCACGTTTTATTCTAGTCCACAAAAATCCTTGTCCAGAATCAATATGGTGTGGGCGAATGGGACAATTGAGAAAGACATTAGTGCAGTAGAAATAATGCCTAATATATGAGCTGACCATAGCCCGGTAAAAATTACATGGAAAGAACAATATAAAAGGAAAAGGAGATGGATACTCAACCCACAAATAACAATAGAAAAAGAATATATTCAAAGAATTAAAGATGAATTAGAAATATTTTTAAGGTTAACCTAAAACAACATACTAGCTTACAAAACTATGGGACACCACAAAGGCCTTCATGAGAGGCATGTCAATAGCTATATAGCTAAGAAAAATAAAGAAAAAGGGAAGAAACAAAAAGAACTACAATAAAGGATTAAAAAAATTGAATATGAGCTTCAAAAAGATCCAAAAAATATGGAAGCTAAGAAAGAAGTAGGGAGGATTAGACATGAATTAAATTTGATAGATACTGAGGAAAATGCACTTAAAAACTGTCAAACATAATTTTTTTTGAATCAGCAAATAAACCAGGAAGATGGTTGTCCCATAAACTAAAAATAGAGAAAGAAAAAAGATTAATTCAGCAATTTAAGGATGAGGAAGGAATAGTGTACTATCAGATGGAGGAGAAAAAGAGAATTGCGCAAAGGTATTTTGGAGAGCTCTATAAGCAAGACGAAGTTATGGAAGAAAACATTAGGCACTACTTGGAGGGAAACAGTCTGAGCCCAATCTCTGAAGAAAACTCAACAAAGAAATAACACTGGTAGAGTTACAAAAGGCAATACAAAAACAAAATAATAATAAAACACCAGGTCCAGATGGTCTATCCGGCAAACTATATAAAAATCTGTCCAAAATATTTGAACCAATGCTACTAGAACTATATAACGAGGCATTAATGCAAGCTAGACTACTGAAGCCCTGGTCCAAGGCATATATCTCCTTAATTTCAAGAGATGGCACCGATCAACAACTAATTGCAAACTATAGGCCAATCTTGTTGCTTGTTGAGTCATTTTTCACAGCTCCAAGGTATATATTTCTTATGTATAAACTCATTATGTATATAATTCTATGAATTATTACACCTATACACAATAAGATTTATAAATGCACTAAAACAATGTAAAAGGATTTTATAAATTAGTGGAAGAACTCTCTCACACACCTACACACACATACAGAGATCTCTCTCATCTCCCTCTGTGTCCCTCGCCTCCCCCTCCATCTCTCATCATCAACATCTATAGGGAGCCTGCAAGCAATATATATCTGAACATTGTGGAATTACAAAGCTCTGGATTATCCAAATTTATCAAAGAGGCCCAGAACTAGGATATTTATTAAGTAGCAATGCAAATTACTTCCTTACTTCAAAGTGCTGTAAAGACCCTAGACTTCTGCCTCAAAGTACTACTCCAAAGATACTTCTATCTGAATAATAGTGTCCAAAAGAGCAGTAGAATGGACTGATCCACTCACTTATATATTTAAATTTATTATAGCTGCCCCCTTCACTTATGAGGTTCAGAAGTTAAAACGGGAGATGTATAGAAACTGATTAAAATATGTTAAAATGCAAGAAAGTGCCAGCTTATAGCTCATAAGAAAATACAGTCATCTTTCAGGGCTCCCCACATCATGGGATCCACCCAGCTGATGGCACAGACATGTCTTCAAGGACTTCCTAAAGGTCAACAATGTTAGGATTGTAAAGGAGATGAGGTAATGTTCCAGAGGCTAGGTGCCACTGCAGAAAAGGCTTCCTTGAGTGTCATCAGATGGAAATTCTTTGTATACAGGAACCACCATACCCTCCTTCTTCCAGATCTGATGGGACAGTTGGATACACTTAGTTTTCCAGAAAACACTTTTTTTAAATTACAGAAGCAAAATCCTACTCTACGTGTCCCTTTGCAGTTCTTATAGTCTTAGCTTCCTGATCTCAGAAGACAATTGATGTTATAGTGGTGGGCAAGAGAAAAAGAGCAAAGGAGAAAGAGGTCCATTCATTCACTAACTAAATAACATTTAAAGTTAGTTGAACTATTGACAGATTATTAGCAGAGAAATGTAAACATGACTTTTAATAAACCAAGAGGTGTACTTTGGAAAATGCTTCCCCACTACCTAAATTCACAATATCAACCCATACAATGATGACAGAATACTGATATAAAAATCATTTTGCATATGCCAAACTTATTTTACCAATGCAAAATCAGAAATTGGGGTAACACTTTGACCATCCTCCTGGTTTAAAAAAAATATCTTTGGGTGCAATTCAAAAAGAAGAGAAAGGACCAGGAGTTATGACATATTACTATTTTCTATAGAAGTATTTCCTACATAATTCACTCACCTGGAGTTGATAGAAGAACTTTAGCCTTGCAAGATTTCAGCACATGTATCAGAGATTTGAGTCGTATGTTAGAGTTAACACATGCCATGGTACAGCCAATTTTTGACAAGCCAATCAAAACTGACAGATAGGCAGGGATGTTCTTGAAGAAAACGGCCATAGTCTCCTCTTCTTTCAGCCCCACATAGTCCTTCAGTACTCTGGCTAGCTGGTTGCTGTGTCTATCAATGTCTCGGTAGGAATAAACCTCATCTTCAAAAATAACCAAGGGTTTGTCTGAATACTTCTTAACTCTGGCCAAAAATATTTCTAGGAAAGTGATAGGGGGAGTGTGCTGCATGTAACTGCGGCATCGATATCCCATGCGTATGTAGCCAATAAGATTTTTAAGATCCAACCAAAAATAAGGGAAGAAAAATTTGGCCAACAAGGGCAGAAGAATCAAAAGCCCAAGCACAGCTGTGTATAGATCCAGCATGGTAGGAATTTAGCCTTAGTATTTTGGAAGAAGTAGATCAGAATCCAATTTATTGCAGGATCTATCCAAGTTCTGTTTTGTGAAAGGCAAAGAGAAGAGAAATCATGAATAATAAAAAAGATGCAATTCTCACACTCCACACAGTTTCTCTAGGCTTAAATAAAAAAACATTTCTTTCCCAGCCAATAAAATTTGAATATGTGCTATAGCTATGTAATCTCAGTATGCTGTTTGTTCCTTACCTTCCTCATCTGTTGGCAACTTTCTCATCTATAATATAGGAGGTAGGTTTTAAGCAACAGGCAGTAGTTATATACAGTGCTGCCTACCTTTTGTCCTTGCCCACAATTTATATCTCAAAGTCCTGAGGCAGGAAGGAATGTTGGCACAGTTGATGCTGAATGAAAATTAACAATCTGGAAGGTCACTGGCCCTTGTAGAACAAACATTTACGAAACAATTTAAACCAGAAAGGAAAGAAAGATACATTCAGCTGCAATACCAATGAAGGAAAGGTGCATGAGTGAATGAAGCTTGCTCAAGTGGTTTAGCAAAGGATCCTGCAATCATCAGCTCCTCTTTCAAGCTGCTCTCTATGTACAGTGGGCCACTTTATATTACAGCAGTTCTCTGCAGTCTGGTGGTCACTAGCTATATAGGCTGCATGTTAAGTTTGGAAGGTCGGGCTCATAAAGACGAGAGACTCTGGTTCAGTAACAACAGCTCTTTATTTTTCGGCTAGAACAAGCTCAAAAGAATAGCAGCTGCGGCGGCTCTTTTATAGAGCTCGCCGGGGCTTGGCGGCCAATGACATTGCTTCAAGTCTCCCACGCTTGGTTTGGACCAATCGTGGCAGACTTTTAGCAAGCCAATCATAACTGCCCCGGCTGTCCAATCAGGTAGCGGTTGAAACAATGGGAATGCATGGTTTCAAGTCTGCTAATATGGAACACCCCTCCCCTCTTGGTATCGTCCAAGGGGCGGGGTGACTTAGTCGCATAGGTAGGTGGGTCTCCGCACCTGCCTACTTGACTTGCATGCTTCATTTAGTCTCTGGTCGTCGGATGGTTCAGACGGGCTCCGCATTGCTCTCAAACCTCCTGATGGAACCACCTGGAAGGGTGAGCCAGGCCTATAGCTGCGACTCCCGTCTGGTTCGCCCAGGTTGGTTGAGTCATTCGCTCTGCTGCTCCCGCCTGGATTTTCTGGGCTGGTCGAGCTTGTCCGGCTACTCCTTTCAGGTGAAGCACCCATCTGCAACGGTTCTGTGTATTCAGGTGAGTATGGTTGGTTTATTGTTTGGCTTCTGCCTGGGGGGTGTTCTGCTTGTGTTAAGTTTTTTTCTTTTCCCATGTTTGAGGTTTCCCCCCACCCTAATTTCTTTGTTAAAGTCTGTGCTGGCTAGCCTTGACCGTAGCTGGTCGATGTGGCGCTTCCAGCTTCACCCATTGGTTGTTTCTAGGCGGTATGACCGGGGGCCGGTTATTTGGGTGATTCATGCGGGTACCCAGAAAGGGTCCCCGGTGAAACTTTTTGTGAAGACAGTGTTGCTGATGTTGAATGCGTGATGTCGGCTAGTGGAGGCGGGGGGTTTCTCCGGATTATAAATGGGATGCAATCGGTCTAGTGGCAAGTGGAGTCTTCTTCCCATAAGTAGTTCTGCTGGGCATTTGTTAGTGGTTGTGTTAGGTGTGATATGGTGTATCAGCAGCATTTTATTGATTTTTTCCTGGATATTGCCGTCTTCAATTTTTTGTATGGTTTTTTTTTGTAAACTGAACTATTCGTTCTGCCTGCCCATTCGCCGTCGGGTAAGCGGGCGATGTTAATGTATGTCTGATGCCTTGGGCCGCCAGGTATTGTTCGAATGCCAGTACCATGAACTGTGTCCCATTGTCGGACACTATCACATCTGGCAAACCGTGTGTGGCAAAAAGTTTGTTAAGTTTAGCTATGACGGCCTCTGTGGTTGTTTTTTTCATAGTGCAAACTTCCAGCCAATTTGAATAGGCATCTACGGTTATTACAAATGTGTGTCCATGAGTGGGGCCAGCGAAATCAAGGTGGATTCGTGACCAGGGGCCCCGGGTGTTTCCATTCCAGGGGGGGTGCTGTGGGGGGGATGGATCGCATTTGTTGGCAACTGTTGCATGCGGCTACCCATGTTTCGATCTGCCTGTCCATCCCTGGCCACCAAGCATAACTTCTTGCCACGGCTTTCATCCGGACGATGCCCGGGTGACCTTCGTGCAGCATGTCCGGTACTGTGGTTTGTAATGTTCCTGGTATCACCACCCGATCTCCCCAAAGTATGCACCCTTTTTGAGCAAAGAGTTCAGTTTGCCGGTTCCTGAAGGCTTTAAAACATTTGTCTTTGTCATTTTCCGGCCAACCCGTTCTACCCAGCTCAAGACTTGTGCCAGCTGAGTCTTTTTTTGTTTCGCGGGCAATGTCTGGCGCGGTGAGGAGTGGGCTGGGTAGGGTTTCTATTTGGAGGACTTGAGTGGTGGGTGCTGGGTCGTCTTGCACATCCGGAAGAGGTGAGCGGCTTAAGGCATTGGCATGCAAAATGTCCTTGCCGGGGCAGTGTGTGAGCTGGTAATTATAGGCAGCCAAGAACTCAGACCACCTTGTCATGTGAGGTGACAGGATGTTTGGGGTGGCCTTGTTGCCCACCAATATGCCTAGCAGAGGTTTATGATCAGTAATGATTGAAAAGGTCCTACTGTAGACATATTCGTGGAATCTTTTCACTCCGGAAATGATCGCTAAGGCTTCCTTGTCCAGCTGGCTGTAGTTTCTTTCTGACTTGGACAGGGTTCTTGAAAAGAAAGCAGTGGGTGCCTCTTTTCCATCTGGTAAGGTATGACTGAGGATTGCCCCCACTCCAAAAGTTGATGCATCGCGTGTAATTGTTAGTGGTAGAGTTTCACTATACTGGATGAGGATTGCGTCAGAAGTTAAGAGGTTTTTTATCTGTTGAAAGGTGTTTTCCTCCTGTTTTCCCCAAGTCCAGAAGGCGGTTTTGTCCAACAGTCTATGCAAAGGTTCTGCCACGGTCACCTTTTGGGGTAGGAAAACATTATAAAAGTTAATGAGTTCTAAGAACACATGAAGCTCTGTTTTGTTTTTCAGTCTGATGGCTTCCTTGATGGCTTTGAGTTTTTTCCCAGTGGGGTGAATTCCGTGTTTGTCTAGGAGGTACACCAAAAACTCGACCCGCTTGGTGCATAGTTGGCATTTCTCTTTTTTAACTTTCAGGCCAGAGTCTTTCCCATGGACGCTGCTCTACGCCGATGATGTGTTCCTGGCCAACCTGTGCAAGGCTGAACTAGAGCACCGAGTCCAACAGTGGCACGACCGCCTCGAGCAGTTCGGGCTCCGGCTGAACCTAAAGAAGTCCGAATACCTGACCACTGACAATGAAATGACAGGCTCCATCCACGTGAACGGGCAGGAGCTACCGCGCGCCTCCACCTTCAAGTACCTGGGAACTACTCTTGGGGAAGAAGGCCTACTACAAACTGAGGTGGCAGCCAGGATCAATGCAGCGTGGGGCAAATGGAAGTCCGTCACGGGCGTCCTCTGTGACAAGAAGATGCCGATGCGCCTGAAGGCGAAAATCTATAACTCTGTGGTGCGCCCCGTGGCCATATACGGCGCAGAGTGCTGGCCGACGACCAAAGAAGTCGAAAGCAGACTCCAGATAATGGAGATGCGAATGCTCCGATGGTCGGTAGGCCTCACCCTACTCGATCGCGTCAGGAACGAAGAAGTGCGTAGACGGTTCAACGTCGTGCCCATCCCCATGGTCATGAGGCAGTCCCGGCTACGATGGTTCGGCCATGTGAGCCGCGCCAAGGAAGAATCCATCATCAAATCTGTAATGAAGGTGACTGTCGGAGGAGCGAGACCGCGTGGTAGACCTAAACAACGCTGGATGGACACGATCAAGGCCGATCTAGAGATTGCGAAGGCAGACCCGACACACGTGGCAGACAGAGAGGTGTGGAAGCAGTACTCAAGGACATTAGCGGACCTCGCCCGAGCGCGAGACAAACGCTGAAGAAAAAGAAGAAGAAGAAGAAGAAGAGGCCAGAGTCTTTAAATTTTTGGAATACTGCCCTTAGGTGTTTTACTAATTGTTTTTTATTAGCTGCTGCCACTAATACATCATCAAAGTACGGCACTACTCCCTTTATGCCTTGCAGCATCCTTTCCATGAGGCTTTGGAAAACCCCAGGCGCTATGCTGATGCCGAATTGGAGGCGGTTGCATTTAAATGCCCCATGGTGTGTTACGATCGTGTGTGCCTCGGCGGTTTCTGCATCAACCAGCAGCTGCTGATAGGCTTGTGCCAGGTTGAGCTTTGCAAAGACCTGGCCTCCCCCCAGTGAGTGCAGGAGGTGCTGGACTACTGGCACGGGATAGGCACTTTGCTTCAAGACATGGTTGAGGGTGGCCTTATAGTCCCCACAGATTCTTATGGAGCCATCTGGTTTGATTGGGGTGACTATAGGCATTTCCCAACGGGCATGGTCAATAGGCTCCAATACCCCTTGGGTGATGAGCTTATTTAGTTGCTCATCTATTTTAGGCTTGAGTGCAAATGGCACTCGCCCCAGTTTGAGGTGGATAGGGGTGATATCTGGGTTAAGATTGAAGGAGATTGAGGACCCCTTGTACTTGCCTAAGATGTTGTCGAAGACCTCTTGAAAGTCCCGTGCAAGTGCCGCTTCCCAATCTTCTTCGTTTGTGTGGTGGATACCAGCCATTTCTATCCCTAGTAGCTTGAACCATTGTAGCCCGAGCAAGCTGGGGTGGTCTTTGTCCATGATGGTGAGTGGCAGTATGTTGGTGTGGCCTTTGAATGTGATTTTGAAGTGCCTAATGCTGGTTACGGGGATGTGGTTTCCCTGGTAGTCTCTGAGAATCAGTTTTTGGTTGCTTAGTTTGTGTCGGCGTATGCTGGGTATTAGGTGCTTGATGGTGTGCCAGGAGACCATGGAGAGGTAGGATCCAGAATCCACTTCCATGGAGCACGTTTGGTTTTCGATGTTTACTGTTATGCCTACTTTTCAGGCGTCTATGGTTGAAGAGTGGCCGATGACAACCATTTGATGGGTCTCTTCTTTCCACGGCGCCTCATTGAATCATTTGGTCCAGCCGTCTTGGCTCCATCAACTGTCAGTCTGGTGATCCCGATGCTTTGGGGGGGTGCCGTCTCATCGTATAGGGTTGCTGCCTCAGCGCCGGGGGCTGTGGTTG